GGGATGGCCCTGGCCCCCCGGGGCTGCCGCGGGTGGGTGCAGCCCCGCGTGCTGGGCTGCAGGACAAGCTGTGGGTCCCGTTCCCAGTCCCTGCTCGGGGCTGCGCTGGGACCTGCACGGCCCTGGGGCTGCAACCCAGGTTCTCTGCACGGGAAACAGCCCCCGGGCTGTCCCCTGCCTGAGGGCGGGATGGGGCCGAGGGGGAGACACCCCAACACCCAGCACAGAACTGAGAAATAAGGTCACTTGTTTTAAATATAATAATAATAATAATTTTAAAAGCCACTCTGTTTCCAGCCCGCCGTGGGTGAGCGGATCCTGCTGGAGAGCCTGGGGAACGCACGGAAGGAAGGACAGCTCTTTTCTTTCTGCTTCCCGTGAAGGATGGCACATCCTTCCTGCAGATGTTAGCTGCAAGGGCCTGATCCCACAGCTTTAAATAGCAAACAACTCCTGCTCTGCGAAGGAGCTGGTTACTTTTCGTCCCAGCTGGGTTTAAGCTGGGCAGTGATTTGCAGTCACAGGCTCGGGATGCCCGGGTGCCCTCCAGCCCCACAGACACCCTGGCTGCAGAGGGGAGCTGGGGGCAGCTGGGGTGGGCTGGCATGAGGTGCAGCATCGCCTGCTCTCGGCTCAGAAGGGCCCGAAGTGCCCTGACATGTTTTCAGCCAAGTCCCGAGGCGTGGTGGCCTGGGGGTGTTCCCGGGGGAGGGTGTCAGCCCACATCACCATCCCCCGGATCACGGCACCGAGAGAATGTGTTTTGCCCTCTTGGGTTAATCTGAAAAGGTCGTGTCTGACACTGCCGTGTGGCTGGAAGGATGGAGGACTTGGGGGGGGAGGGAGGGGCTTTTCTTTAAAAATAGCAGCAGCTGAGCAAAGCCCTGGTCCCTTGCAGCTGGAAGTGTCCCACTGGCACCTTGATCCCTCCTCTGGGCTTGTCCCTTGGCAGCAGGTGCTGTGCCTGTGGCTCAGGCAGGGTCTGTGGGGAACCAGCACCTCCAGTAGAGCCCCTGCCTGCAGCTTGTCCCCAGTGCTGAGCCACCAGCCCCCCTGGCACCTGGGGACATGGAGGGTGACAGGGCTCTGCAGACCCCAGGGGCTGCCCCAGAGCTGGGGAGTCCAAATGATTCAACAGGGCTGCCTGGGCATCTCCAGGTTGGATGGGGCTTGGATAAACCTGGTCTGGTGGGAGGTGTCCCTGCCCATGGCAGGGGATTGGGACTAGATGGTCTTCAGGATCCCTCCAAACCATTCCATGATTCTCTGATCTGGGAGAGCCTTTCTCCTGGTGCCTGTTGCTGGGTGCTGCCTTGCTTGGGGCTGGGGAGAGGAGCTGGCAACTAATGGCCATGTTTCACTGCAGAGAAGTGCTGCTTTCCTTCTGGGAAGGTCAGCAAGTCCAGGTCATCCTCAAAGGCTTTGATTTACAGAAGAAAGCAGGTAGAGATGGAGAGTCAGTGTGAAAGGTCAACATTCATTTCAGCAAAAGCTTTTGTTGAGTCCCAGGTGAAGCCAGAAATTTGCATTTAAATGAATATGTATTTTGAGACATTAAACCCACTGGCAAAATAAAGGCCTTGCTGAGATGACACATACATCGTTCTCCTGCTTGTTCCCCATGTCAGGCCAGCCTTTGGAAATTAAACCACGGCAGCTAAAGCAGTTTTTCTTCCTACTCTGAAAGCCACAGCCTGCTGTAAATATGGGATGTGGACCTGAGCTGCCTGCACTTTAAGTGATAAAAGAATTGGTGGATTTGCAGGATCTGTGTGTGATGTGCAGGAGAATGATCTCAGAGCCATTCTGCAGTTCCAGATCAGCTTTTTTGTCCTGAAGTCCTAATAAACAGGGCTAACAAAAAATGATCCTGGGGGGGAAACAAGTTGGCTCTGGGTGACCTGGGAAGCAAAATGGGGCCTTTTTTGTGGTGTTTTTTTTAAGTCCCTGGTGCAGTCAGAGCCCCATCCATGGGCAGATTGGGTGCTGAGTCAGGGGGGTGAGGAGGCCTGACCAGCATCTTCTGCTCCCACTGGCACTGGGCTGGTGTCAGGTGGTGTTCTGAGGCCCTGGGGAGATGAGATCTGACCTGTCACCTGCCACCACCACTGTGTCACTCCCTGTAGGAGCTGCAGTGTTCCCAAGGTGGCACAGCATGGCTGAGGGCTGCTGAGGCCACTCACCCCCTGGGGTTTGCAGGGGGTGGCAGTGGGGATGGTCCTGTGCAAACCAGAGTGGCTCTGGGGAGGGCTGGGTGCTGCCAGGGGAGCCAGGACAGGGCTCTGCTGCTGAGACGGGTTCTCATCCAAACGGTTTTTTATCTCAGACTTCTGATGAATAAAACAAGGCTCTTTGCTATGTGCTGGAGTTGACACCCAGCTGCTCAACAGCTTGTAAAGCGTTTAGCTGAGGAGCAGAGCTGTGATCAAACGTCCTGCCACGCGCCGCTCGCGTGCGCCCTGTCGCTGGCAGGGCTCAGCTCCCTGCCTGGCAGGGAGGATGCTGTGCTGCCTGCACCCCTGCCTGCACCCCAGAGCCCCTGCCTGCTCCTCTCAGCCACAGCTTCAGGGGAAACAGGGCTGGGGCTGGTGGCCTCTTGCCTTGGAGAGGTCATGGATGGTGCTGCCCACCCCTCCCAGTTGCCAGTGTGAGGCCAGCTCTGTTGCTGCAGCCCTGTAGGGATGTGGTCCTTGTTCCCTTGCAGGAGGTGCTGGGGTTGGATTCCTCTTCCTGAGGTCTCTCTGCTTTGTCTTTTTAAAAGTCCCAGTAGTGCCTGGCAGCATTGCTTTCCCCTTGGGCAAACCATCCATGTTGGTGGCAATGAGTGGCCGAGCCATCCTCGTTGGTGGCACTGAGGACACTGGCGGTGGGTTGGTTACCTGCAGGGCAGAGAGTGTTTGCTTCTGCCCATCCAAATCCCTTGAACAGAGCTCAGGGAAGGGGAGAGAGGAGCAGGCTGCTGCCACATCCCCAGTGTCTGCAGCATCCCAAGGGACTGTCCCCAAACAGCCCCATGCTGGCTCCACAATCCCTGGAGCCCCTTTTTGGGAAGGGGGCTCCCACCAGCCTTTCTCCCCAGCTGATGCTTTTCCATGCCCATGAGAGGCTGCCCGTGAGGAGGGCAGGCTCTCCAAAAGAGGTGGCAGGTACTCAGCACAGCACCCAGCACGTTACCCAAGGTTTGTCCCCCAGTCGTGTTGGTAAGACAAGGTGGTTCTTGTGGAGATTTCCAGCACGTGGTGCTCGGGCTGCGGCTCATGCCCTGCTGAAGGCACCGTCAGATTTATTAGGGAGTTTCTGCTGTCACTCTGGTTGTGTTTACATCTTAAAATGCTCTTCTCGCTCTCCCCAGGAATCACCTTTTGGGAGGATTAACAATCTTGGAGCCAAACAAGAGTTGTGGTTATAAAAAAACCAGTATTTGGTGATATGCAGGGAGCAACGTGGTGTCTCCGAGGACAAAGATCTCCCCATCCCGGGTACATCAGAGCTCATTATCATGTTAATCTGACTGATTGCAGCCTCCCAGAAGGATTCCACATATGGTCACTTCTGTAGCACAAATAAGATCCGTTTTGCCTGAATCACGAGGCTCGTGCTGGTCCCTTCCTGGCCGGATGATCTTTATTCATGAGCTGCAATTCCAGGCGATGTAAATATTAATTGCTTTTGAACCTGCCCTTAGTTTTTATTCCGACTCAGGGTTTTGAACGTCTACCTGGTGCGCGGAACCCTTAGTTTGGGTTGTTTGCTTTGGTTCTGCTGCTCGAGTCCCCAGGAGCAGGAGCCGTGTCCTCTCCCTGCACCCTGGGGGGCTGCGCTTGGGGGGGGCAGGGGGCTCTAAGCTGGGGCTCGGGGGGTTCTCTGCCTGCTCAGATCTTCCAGGTGCTACTGGCCCGGGGTGTTGGTCAAACTGCTCCCTCCA